CATTTTCAGGTCCTGAAGGAATCCCGGAGCTATGGAAGTTCACGCCTGCCGCTGAGCTCTTAGCTAACAGGTTGGTGGTTCTAACCTGCCCAGGGGCTCTGTGGGAGAAAGATCTGGAAGTCGGCTGTAAAGATTACAGATAAGAAAACCCTCTGGGGCTTTCTACTCTGCCATACTTGTTGCTACGAGTTGGGGTGAACTCGGTAGGGCCCGAGAACCCTACAAAGGACGGGTGCCCTCGGCTCTCTGGGCTTGAGAGTCAGCTCAGCATCTGGGGGCGGGAGGCCCTGCGGGTTCTGGTCTGAGGCTGGCTAGGAACAAAGGGCTGCTTTTTGTCTGGACATTTCCTTACGAGGGCTGCCTGGAGGGCAGCCCTTTGTCTGAGGGGCGGGCTCCCAACTGCTCCGAGCCTCGCAGAGAAACGGTGAGAAACAACAAACTGCCTTCCTTGATTTCCTTTGTCTCCCTCTCTCTAATCTCCACTGCATCTCTCCAGGCTGATTTAGTTAAACATGGAAAAAATCCATAAGTGTATATATAAACAGTAAGCATTTCCTCTCTAAGAAGAGCCATCCGTTCTCCGTTCTCCGTGGTCAATCCCCTCCCTAACCCCCACCAACTCTGCTTTTAAAGCAGTCATAGGAAAGGCTCTTCCACTGCTTTGTGAGAGAAGAACCCAGAAAGAATTAGGGTCCTCACCTTGGGAGGAGCTAGACATACAGGGAAAGTCGGTAAGAAACATGATATAAATTTATAAAATGGGCCGGGCCGGGCCACTCCTACGGCTGAAATGAGTGGGGCTGTTAGTTAGCAGGCAAGAGCAGGCTGAAGGACGGCAGGTTGGGAAGGGGTCAGAAAGGGGCACGCGCAGCGCAGCGCATTCCCAGCGGACAGTGGAGGGCTGGCAATCTTTTGAGGTAACAGGTGGGTGCTCAGTATCTGCCAGACCCGAGTCTGAGGCACCATCGGGAATGCCATCCCGGTTCCAGTGAGCCTACGGCAATGTCCTGAGGAAGCGGGCGAGTGGAAGTCCTCCCACGCCTAGAGGATCAGGGAAAGGCTGAGCGAGGAGCGCTGTGGGTCGGTATCCTAGTTTCAGGGGGGATGGGACCCCGAGAGCAGAAGTGCGGAGCTCAGTCGAGAACCAGCCTGGGGACAAGGCTGAGCCCCCTCCCCTGGGATCCTGAGGGGGGGGGTATGTTTGGAGTCTCCTGGTAGAACGCTTTCTGGAAAGAGCAACGCATTGCCGCCGCCGGTTGCCTGTGATTCCAGCTCTTGGTGACCAGCCGTGGGACAGACGAGCTGCCCGTCGTCGGGTGGCCGAAGCGGTACTTTTCACGGGAGCGGAACTCGGCATCTTTCTCCAGGGAGCCGCTGGCTGGGCTCAAACGCCCAACCTTCCAGTCAGCTGCTAAGCGAGTTAGCAGGGGAGCACTTCGCCATCGTGCAATTATTTTGTCAACATTGCCACGTAGTTACTTGCTACAGGTCTAATAATGTAGGCGTGGAAGAAATGCATTTTAAAGGGGGAAAGACTAAGGTAAAGCCCAAAGGGGGCCAGAAGCCCAGGATTTCAAGTCTATTTCACAGTGCTGCCTAGGGCTATTGCTTTAAAAAGCTATTTTCCCCAGTTGAAAAAAAGAGAGAAAGAAAGAAATGCTGGCTTTATCTAGGGTAAGGTATGCTAGGAACGCAAAGGAAAATTCCACAGTCGCACACCATTAACCCGTGTCACCACGGACATCCCACGGCAGGAGGAAGGTGGAAACATGCAGGAAATTTCTGCCTCCCAACCTGGAGGGAGCGGTTTCTTTCAAATAGTTAGTTACATGCGATGTAAGGAAGTTAATTACATGCGATGATATCTAAAAGGCAATTTATGAATATAGAGAACCGTGGAAAACCAGACCTCCAAGACAGCTGGGGGGGGGGGGGGGGGGACGGTGGGGAGCAAAGCTGGGAGGGCGAGACCCTCCCTAATGGCCAGAATTAAGTGGGAATAGTGAGGAATGAGATTCCCAGAACCCCGGGCTCCCCGGCACTAACTTTCCTATCACATCCAAACGTCAAATCCAGCCCTTAGGTCCTCCGTGCTGTGGGGAGGCCCCGCCAGGAGGCAAGTGAAAAGAAATAGCTCGGAGCCCTGGGCTTCCCAGCCATCACCTGGTTTCCCTTTATCCCATCACGGAAGAGCTACTTGTAGCTAGGCAACCACAAACCAGTCCCCTTTCACGCCATATTAATCCGCTGCAATGCAAACTGTGCCAAGTGCTCTCATGGGGCGCAGAATACAAACTGGGCCCAATGGAATGTTGTATTCATTCTTCGCTCTGCGCCCTCCTTCCACAGCTCCCTTCTAGTGAGGGGGCAGCCTCAGGGCCTTGGTGCCCCAGACTGGAGGATTCCAGGAACCTGGCTCCCCTCACCGCTCTCCTCGGTCTGGGCCTTGGGAAAGCCAGGTCCAGATTGCCCAAGTCTCCACTGCAGAGAAGAGCGGTATTGAAAGGGAGGCCTGGGGCTGGCCCTGGACTGCTGTCTGTCTGTGGGCCACAACAGGCTGCCCCCCATACCCATACTGAGTCTCAGCGGCCAGATGGCCCCCCCATCCTGGGTCCCCCAGAATCTGGCGCCTTGGCTCTTCTTTTTGAGGCTCATCAACCTGACTGGATCAGAAAGAGCCGCCCTGCCCGGGCATTCTTCATATAGAACCTCGGCCTTTCCCCACATCTAGGTGCACAAGGGAATATCAGGGAAGCAGCACGTCACAGCCAGAGAGCCAAACAGTGTCCCCTTTCCTCCCACAACTCTCTCCCTCCCCTTGAGGAGCTTCCCCACCCCCAGCACTGGGACTGCCCAGCCTGGCTTGAGAGGGCAGCGAAGCCTCAGAGTGGACCCATGTTGGCCCGCAAGATGGTCACGTGGGTCTCAAGGGTCTTCAAGTCAAAGGCCTCCAAGCTTTCAAGCTTGAGTGTCCACAACCAAACCCAACCCATTGCCGTCCAGGGGTTCCCACTCATAGAAACTCACTGCCGTCCAGTCAGTGCTGACAGCTGGCGACCCTACAGGGCAGGGTGGACTGCCTGGGTGAGTCCCCGAGAGAGAGCAGCTCTTCTCGGGACCACAGAGCCCTGCCTTTCTCCCCATGGAAACCCCGTAGGACAGAGTCAAACTGCCACGTAGTGTTTCCATGGCCGTGCTCTTTACGGAAGCAGACTGCCACGACCTTCTCCCGTGGAGCAGCTGGTGGGCTGGAACTGCTGCTCTTTTGGTTTGTGCCCAAACCCTCAGCTAGTGTGCCACCAGGGCTCCTTCAGTGCACACAGAAACAGACAAAACAAAACCCCCAGTCGCGCCAGCCCTCATGCCCTCCCTCAGAGCTCTGGGCCAAGCTCAACATTAGTCAGTTATCATGCGAATGTTATCAGTAGTATTCAGTCATGTACCTGGATGGCTCTAAGTTGGATTGTATTGACTGTGACCAGGCATCGGGTGACCAGTAACCTCCCTGTATCTGGGCCCTCCCAGCCTCCCCCCAGCAGGGGGGTTTGCCGGTGCTGCTCTGGGCTGCTCACAGGATCCTCCATGTCAAGGGTTAGCTGAGGTTTTCAGAGTTACTTTTCCCTTCGCATCCTGTCTGGATCTGGGAAGCACTTTTTCAGCAGTGTGTCCGTGTTCCTCTGATATACGGGGGAAGAGGGCCCAAGCCCCGGCACAGAGGAAAGCAACGGCTTAAATAATCCAAAACTGGGAGGGACGGTCCTTGGGATAAGGGGCCATAGCTGGGCCCTAGGAGACAGTATCACCTGACACCCTATCTCTTGCCACGGTTTAAAAATTTTTTTTATTATTATTAAATACTTTTATTGGGGGCCCTTATATCTCATCACAATCCATACATTCATCCATTGTGCCAATCACATTTGTACATATGTTGCCATCAACATTTTCAAAGCATTTTCTTTCTACTTGAGTCCTTGGTATCAGCTCATTTCCCCTTCCCTCCCCTGCCATTCTTCCTTTCCTCATGAGCCCTTGGTAAGCCCTTGGTAAGTTATAGATTATTACTTTCATATCTTACATCGTCCTCTCTCACCCTTCACCCACTTTTCTGTTGTTCGTACCACCACTGTTTCTTCCCCACATCCGTAAACAGGTCGGTCGGCACAACAGGTCGGCACGAATCTAAGAAGCCAAGTGTGGCGCGGTCTTAAAGTCTTTCCTCTGTAGGCAGTGGCCAGGTTTAATCACAGTTCTTAATACAGTAAAATCACACACACCCTCAAAAAAGGGGGCAGGAAAAAAAACGGGGCAGAATTAAAGCTGTGAAGAGCACGATTTCTTTCTGCTTGGAAGGGAAATCTTGTCCAGAAGCACCGACTGACTGTCAGCCCCTTCTGGAAGGGAGGCATTGTCCCAGAGCAGCTTCTGAATAAGAGGCGGACTCTGGAGCAGGGCAAAAATAGCTCACGAAGCCTCAGGGAGCCTGCGATCTGCATCTCTCATTCCAAACTCCCAACTGAAAGCTGGAAGTCACTCTTCTTTTCAAATGTTCATTTGCTATTAAACTCACTGGGCAGCGAAACAAACCCGGCCTCATTTGGTGCCTTGAGCCGAAATAAACTTATTAATAGTCTGTTTATCCCACCTATGGTGGTTATTCTGACATTTCATGGCAGAAGCCACGAGTCTGGTGATGGGGGCTGATCCCAGGCCTCTTTGGAGGGGCACCATAGTACCTTTCTTTGGGAAAAAAAAAATCTGATTTTTAAGACACATTTGGCCCCGAGGGGTCCAGCTCACGGGGAAAGATTGCAGACATGTCCTGGGATGACATGACGTAAGATCCCACAAGGGTTACCCCAGGCCGAGAGAGTCAGGTTACGGCTCCATCCTGTCAGACAATCTAACCAGCTCCCACACAAGCCAGACAGCAGCAACACTGTGTTAGAAACAGGAAATGCAGTACACCGGCTGGCCCACCACTGCACGCCCAATCCTACCTTCACGTACTCCAGAGTGGGGTCCAGAAGGTGCTGATCCCTGAAAAGAGAAGCAAGGAGACCAAGTGAGAACAATGCCTCCACAGAGTGTGAGGTCATAGCCAACATTTCCTCACCCTCACCCCGTTACACACGGGGCTGTGAGCCGCAAGGTCCACAGTTTGAAACCACCAGCCACTCTGTGGCAGCAAGACCGGGCTTTCTATTCCCGTGACGTGTGACAGTTTCAGAAACTTACAGGGGCCAGTTCTGCCCTGTCCTGCAGCGGGGCTCTGAACCAGCATCCACTGATGGCCGTGAGTTTGCGGGGCTTTTTGGTTTGCTCATTCAATGCATGGAGCTGCCCTCCCCCACCACAAGAGCCACAGCACAGACAGGAGGCAAGACGAGACCCGAGATTTTCATGGTGCTGTTGGGCAGTGGGAGATGCAGGTGCACAGTCGCCATCCGCTGTCATCAAATTCCAGCCCCCAAATGTGAAATCGTTATTTCTAGGTGGGAATTCTAGGGTCGCCCGGACATTAGAACACCAGGCCACAAGGACAGAGGTGGGCAGGGAGCGATGGAGTGATGGATGTCAGAACACAAAGCACCTCCCTGCATCCTGTGGGTCCATTCTCACACCATCCCCATCGGGCAGCCGGTACCGCCCACCCTGAGAGAAGAAACAGGCAGAGCAGCTGCCAGAGGCACCCACGATGGCGCTTTGCACCCATCTCAGCTACACCTTCCTCGGCTTCTTGCTGGCTCTCTGACCCATCCACTCCTGGTGTAAGCCTGGGCCATTCATCCTAATTTTTGATGTCCCCACAGGGTGTTTTTCACGTTTGCTTTTTCCAAAACCTTTTTATTGGGAGTTAATCTAGGTACCATATTGTTCCATAGTTCCATCACGTAAAGCAGTATTGTACAATTGCTACCACGATCAGTTTCCCAGCATTCCCTTTCTTCTGGAACGGCTTGAGGTCAGCTCCCCTTTACCACCCCTCCCTCCCCTGTGGAGATTTTTATTCTTATTCTTGTTCCCATCTTATACACCAGGGGCTTCAAAAAGTTCGTGGGAAATATGGAATTCAAAGATAATGAAAATTTCCCAGGAACGTTTTGAAGCCCCCTTATATGCTATTTGGACCCCTGGTGGCATAGTGGTTACAAGTTGGGCAGCGATCCCCAAGGTCAGCAGTTCGAAACCACTAGCAGCTCCTTGGGAGAAAGAAGAGACTTTCTACTCCCATAAAGAGTTACACTCTCAGAAACTCAGAGGCAGTTTTTCCCTGTCCTATAAGGTTGCTATGAGTCAGTATTGACTCAGTGGCAATGAATTTTTTTTTTATATGCTATTGGGGTTGGGGAGGGGAATCCCTGGGTGGTACAAACAATTAAGCTCAACTACTAGCCAGAAGTTGGCATTTTGAACCCACCAAAAGGTGCCTCAGGAAATGGGCCCGGGAGGCTGCCTTGAAAACGAGGCAGGCCAGAATTGACCAGATGGCACCTAGCAAGGGCACCCGCTATGAGGTCTACCCCAACATGGCAGGATGACTTCGATGGAGAGCCTGGCTGATTGCAGAAGGTGGAGCGGGAAGCTGCCTAAGGGAAGGGCAAAAAGAAAAGGGGGGACTTGAGAGCTCACGTGTTCCTTACTTGGAGAGTTACAGCGAGCCTCGCCTCCTTACCCCGACAGCACTTCTGAAAAGACAGTCCACGTCAGAGATCTAAATTGCAGGCGGGGGAGGGGGGGATCCCCAACACATCCCCACAGAAAGGAACGATCATCTCAGAAGGGCAGAATGGCTCTGAGCCTGAGAATCTTCAGAAATGGCCATCAGAACGGAGGGCTGCCCTCCAGCAAGCAGAAAGGAGCCAGTGCACCACGCCTCCAACCCGCAGGCCTGGCAGCTCGCTCCTTCAGCAGCGCAGAGCGGGGCAGGCGGGGGGGTGATGTGGCGGGCGCCCAGACAGCTCAGCTCACCCACTCATGGTGGGGGATGTGATCCTTTTACTTGGCTCATTTGTGAGCAAATGTGGACCAAATTTGGTCATGACTTAGTGACTACAGCAGCGGAGACTTGAGGTCTCTTACCTACAAAAACGCTCCCCAAACACGTGCCACGTGCCACCGGGTCAATCCGGATTCATAGCAACCCTGTAACAACCTTCCCCAAACCACGCTCACTGCCATCGTCAATACCGACTCACATCGGCAGGTAGGGCAGGGTGGAACTCCCACTGTGAGTTTCCCAGTACACCTGTTTACAGGAGTCAAAGTCCTGTCTTCCTCCCTCGGAGCGGCTGGTGGTTTCTACCCGACTTTGAGGACCTCGGCCCATTGCATAACCACTATGCCCCAGGACCCTAGCAGCTCTAAACCACCACGTGGGGGACTAAACCATACAATGAGGTTTCTTACACACCAATTTATTGAAAGACTTGTCACCCTTTCCTCCCTCGTGTGGAAATCTGAACCAGCATCCAATGAGCTATTTCCATGTGAAAAGAAACGTGGGTCACCGACACGTGATTGAGTAAGGGAAGGGTGACTCAGAATCACACGAAAGCCTCCCAAAGCCATGGCTCTGAAGTGGCTGCAGTTAAAGTCAAGGATTTAAGATGACACCATAGGAAGAAATGTTCACACTCATTAGCAACAAGAGAAAAACCAATGTAAACAACAAGATATCACTTCACACCGACACTTTCAGAAAAATTCAATGAAACAGAAATTAATAGATGCAAGAGAGGATACAGGGAGATCGGAATGCTCTTATACTGCTGGTGGGACTGTAGAATTGTACAACCACTGTGACAATCAGTAGGGCACCTCCTTAAACAAATGCAAATACAAGCACCTTATGCCCCAGCCATCTCCCTACTGCAGTGGGTCTCACCCTTCCTAACGCCGCAGCCCTTTCATACAGTTCCTCATGTGGTGGTGATCCCCCCAACCATAAAGTTATTTTTGTTGCTCCTTCATTTCTCAGCCAGCAAACTGTAATTTTGCTACTGTTATGAAGCAGGCGACCCCAAGGAAAGGGTCGTTCGACCCCCAAAGGGGTCGCGACCCACAGGTTGAGAACCTGTGCTCTATTGGGTATACACCCTCAAGAAATCAAGAGTGCAACAGGAGCAGACATATGCACCTCTACGTTTACTGCTGCAATTTCCATAATAGCAAAAACGTGCAAACAATCCAAAATCCCTAATCTAGAGGAACGGATAAATAAACCCGGTACATCCACACAATGGAATTTTATGCATCAATAAAAAACAATGATGATTCTCCTAAACACATAAAGACATGGGCAAACTATGCTTAGCAAACTCAGTCAATCTTACAAAGATAAATATTCATTAACACCATTATTGTAAGGAAAAAGAAATGTGATTTATACACCAAAAGAGGTGACTTGGATGACGACGAGGAGGCTGGGGACCAGGCGGGAACAGGGAGAGGGAGAGTGGAGGGAGAGGATACTGAGGAAGGAGGGAGGAGGATGGGGGGAGGGCGGCAGGTGGAAGCGGGAAGATGAAAGAGAACCACCAATGGCTGTCCCACAGGACACTGCTGAGTTCCTTCTTGAGATGGGCTTTGTAAATGTATACAGTGTGTCTCTTTAAACCGCAACTCAATCCCTCCAGATTCCTTATCCCGTACACCCGAGTGGCTTTAAAAAAAAGAGAGAGAGAAAGTAAAACTGAAATGGGCTTGGAGACTTTAGTGACAAATTCATCTCGAGCAAACAAAGATTAGGCTGGGCTGCTAACCTCAAGGTCAGCAATTCAAAACCACCAGAGGCGCTGCGGGAGAAAGATGAGGCTTTCTCCTACCGTGACGAGTTAGTCTTGGAAATCCAGACTGCGTTCTCCGCTGCCCTGTAGGTGGCCCTGAGTGGGAATTGACAGGGTGGCAGTGACTTTGAGTGCTGAGTTGAGCTCTGTCTAGTGAGAGCCATGGGGGACAGGGGAGAGAGGCTCTATGCACAGTCGATGCTTACGAATGGGTCTCTCTCGAACAGCTTCTGCTGGCAAGTGGAGGTGGCACATTAAAGAGAGAGTTGGGGCCATCATAAATAAAGCCCCACCTAAGTAAAGAAGCAAAAGCGGGCCCTTCAATAACGTAGGGTCTTCAATGGAAGAGAAGAGAGTCATATGGAAAAGTAGGAAGTAAATGTGTTTCCACTAATCAGTGTGAGATGATCCCATCTCTAAATGAGACCGAGTTAGTTAATTGTGCCAGCCTGGCCGATAATCACATGTGGGGCTAATTGAAAGGCGGAGGGATAAATGGGTGGTGAGCCTCGGCCTTTCTAGTTCTCGGGTCTCTTGTTTTGTGATGGTTGCACCGGGTGCAGCTGCCTTAGCAGTTCCCTGCTTCAGCTTGCAAGATTGACTTCCTACAAGACATCCCCAAGGAGAAGCCACATGGACCTATCCCGATGCAGCCCTGGGTGCTGGAGCAGCCGTGTGGAGACCCCTGCTAGTGCTGAGATGCTTGTTCGTTCACTGACTCAGCTTTCCTCCTGCAGTCGGCATCGTTGCCTCTGTTTTGTGAGGTGGAGGACTTTGTGGACTGGTGTTGGGTTAATGGGTTAATGTTGGACTTGTGGGCTTGGGCAGCATTGGGTTGGGATGTTTTCGTGATGCACATTTTCTTTTCATAAAACTCTTTCTTATACATGAGTCGCTGTGGATTTGTTTCTCCAAAGTACCTAGACTAATACAGAGACTATCCCCTCTCTAATTTCTGATTTTAACCGCCATCAGTAGTTGCTTGCTTAGATTGATCTCTCATCCATGACAACTTCCTGATCCGTAATTGACTCCTCCGTAATTGAGAGCGGAGCTGAGGGCGGCTCATGGAAGCCCCCCGTCACCTGAGGAAGCACCTCTCCTCTCCTCCCTGAGAATGGAGAAGGTGAGCCATCCTTGCAGCCGACACTGCTTCTCCTGAGTGGTCTCAGACCGACCCCACTTCTGGGAAGACTTTCTGGTCTTGGGCAGCCGCAGGCCTGCTCCCCCGGGCACCAGGCCCTGCGTGGT